ATGATCACCCGATTATTCATTGTTGAATGTTGTTGTTGCTGTGAATGTTGCACGTGCCAAGATTGGTTACTAAACTGTTGCAGTCTATTGCAGCAACAACTAAGTTGTTAGGGTGGTTAGTTTGTTGAGTTGCTACTTGAGCAAGCAATGTACATAAGCTAAGCGTGAATCACAATGTTGTATATATAGAGTGTTAATGTTCCCTTTTAAAAACACTTTTCATTCAATGAAATAGTATCATTTTTTTTTACAGTTTCTTTGCTTAAGTGTTTTCTCAATATGTTATCATTCGTTGAAGATTCTGGTTTTTAAGCTCCGACTGTTGTGATGCTCTTGATAGTCCAAATATCTCCTCAACCTCTAGAGGAGTTTTGATGGTGCGTTCTGTTATGTTCACTAACAAGAAGGTGAAAGTTATTTTGGATGAGATGAACTTCTTACTTTGGAAGCAACAAGTGTTGCTCACAGTTTGAAGTCATCGTTTGGAGAGGTTGTTAACTGGTTCGATGCCAGTGCCACCAGAAACCATTGTTGATCAGAATGGTGAGGTCGTGTTGAATGAGGCATTTGAAGATTTCATGGCACATGATAATACGCTTGTGTCATGGTTGCTATCCACCATCAGTCCACAACTATTACCTCAGTTTGTTGGTGCTTAGACGGCGGCTGTAGTGTGGAGTAAAGTAATCAAATTCTTTGCTAATCGCTCCACCACAACAGTAATGAATCTGTTATATAAACTTCAATCAATTAAAAAATGAGATGATAACATGTGAGTCTATCTGACTCGTGTTAAGGAGGTGTGTGATGCGCTTGAGTCGTGTGGAAGTCATGTTGCTCCAGTTGAACAAATTGTGAGCGTGTTAAAAGGATTACCTCATGAATTTCAGCCGTTTATGGCAGTTATAACCACCATGTGTGAAACGCTTACTCTGGATGTTATCAGTAATATGTTGGTTGATGCTGAAACTTAGCTTGCTGGCTTTGAGTTTTCAGCAGACAGTATTTCAATTAGTGTTCATGTGGCACAGGCTACGAGTCATCATATCTTTGATTCCATAACTACTCAGGAGTTTAATCACAAGCCACATTTTGGTGGTCGTTCTGGTGGTCATGGTCGAGGTCATCCACGAGTGCAGTGTCAGCTATGTGGTAAGGTTGGTCATATGGTTCAACAGTGTTGGTATCAATTTGATCATGATTTCCTTGGTGATGGTAGTGATATTCATCGTTATAAAGCTAGTTCTGGCAATGTTAATCTTACTGATAGCACACAATATGATTGTTATAGCACCTCTGGTGAAGGAAGAGTTATTGAGTCTCCTCAAGCTAATACAGTATCTTCCTCTCGTGAGTATTGGGTGGTTGATTCTAGTGCCACTCATCATGTGACACCTGATGTTACCAAGATTCCTCATCCCTCTTACTATAGGGGACCAAGTAATCTTTTAGATGGTAATGGCGTTCCCCTTCATGTAGAAACTGTTGGTAATGCATTGATATCTTCTCAGTCACAAGCATTAATGTTGAATAATATTTTACATGTGCCTAAGATTACTAAAAATCTACTTTCGGTGTCCAAGCTTGCTAGGGACAATCGTGTATTCTTTGATTTTCATGCCAATGATTGTTGTGTTCGTGATGAAGTCACTGGTAGTGTTCTTATTCGAGGGAAATAGAAAGGGGGTCTTTATTCATTTGAGCTGGCTGGTGATTCGTATCTTGATGATCAGGCTAATACTAGTTTAGCTGCTGCTTTAGAGGTGTTTGATTTGTGGCACAGATACTTCAGGCATCCATCGTTTCACACTTTGAAAGATGTTTGTAATAGATTGCATGTAAACATCTCAAATGATGATAATAAAATTTGTCCTGCTTGTTGTGTTGGGAAAAACCATAAGTTGGCTTTTAAATATTCTCAGATTGTGTATTATGAACCATTTCAGCTTGTGTTTTCTGATTTATGGGGTCATGCACATGCTCCTTTAAATGGGTTTAGATACTATGTTACTTTTGTTAATGCTTGTACTCGTCACTCTTGGTTATAATTGTTGAAGGACAAAGCTCAACTTCTGATTGCTTTTCAATTGTTTAGGAGCACGGTTGCTACACAGTTTGACTTATCTATTAAAGCTATTCAAAGTGACTTGGGTGGTGAGTATATACCACTGACTGATCTTATGGCTAAAGAAGGAATTGCTCATTGAGTAACTTGTCCATATACCTTTGAACAAAATGGGGTTGTGAGCGAAAACACCGTCACTTGATTGAGTTAGATCTTAGTTTATTGGCTCAGGCTTTCTTACCTTTGAAATTATGGTCATATCCAGTGATTACAACTGTATACCTTATTAATAGACTCCCTACACGAGTGCTCAAAGGTGTTTCACCTTTTAAAAAATTATTTCACAAGCAACCTGATTATAAATTCATGAAGGTATTTGGATGTAGGTGTTTCCCGCACTTGCAAATGTTTCAAAGGAATAAGCTCATGTTTCAATCCCAATAGTGTACCTTCTTAGGATATATCCCTCAGCATAAGGGATATCAATGTCTGACATCTGATGGACGAGTCTATATATCTCGCCATGTGAAGTTTGATGAACTGGTTTTTTCTTTTGCAGCCACAACCTCGTAGTACTCTCATGATACATCTAGGCAGTAGTCACCTGCGTTGGATATAGTCGTGCAGTCATAAAGTCTGCGTGTGCCTAGGGTTTCTTCACGTGTGCATGCTTCTCCTATGGTTACACCTACCTCTAGTGATCCTCATATTCCTTCTATGCCTGTTGATTCAAGTTTACCACCTGATGGTGACTTGTCTGTTGTTCCATCTCAAGTATCTTTGTCCACTCCTACTACCTCTACATTTAATGAAGAAGCATGTCATGAGTCTCAAGTGCTTGAACCTCCAGTGGTAATCTTGAAGAAGTGGCCACTTCGACAAATTGATGTCAATAATGCTTTTCTCAACGGTGGGTTGACTGAAGATGTGTTTATGCAACAGCCACCTGGGTTTGAAGTATGTGCTTATAATGGTACACCACTTGTTTGTAAGCTTAAAAAGGCTCTTTATGGTTTAAGACAAGCACCACGTAATTGGCACAATAAGCTTCGAGATAGTTTGCTTTCATTGGGATTTTGAGAGTCCAAAGCCGATTGTTCCTTGTTTGTTACTAATCATGTTGGCAGTCGTATGTTCATTATCATCTATGTTGATGATATCATCTTGACAGGAGAGTCACTCAACCATATTGAGTATGTTATTCGTGAACTCAACAAGCAATTTTCACTTAAGGATCTTGGTGACTTGCCTATATTTTGGGCATTAAAGTTAAGCGATGTGATGATTCTATTTTGTTGAGTCAAAGGAAGTTTGTATTGGATTTGTTGGCAAAGATAAAGTTGACTCGAGTCAATCCAACTACCTCACCTATGGTTGTAGCTAATAAGTTGTCTAAGGATGAAGGAAACTCTTTAGTTGATGCTTATGAATTTCATAGCATTGTTGGATCTCTATTGTATGTATGTCATACTCGACCTGATATAGCTTTCAGTATAAGCAAGGTTGCTCAGTACATGCAAGCTCATTGAGAATTTCATCTTGTGGTAGTTAAGAGTATTCTTCGATATTTGGCAGGCACAGTGGATTACGATTTGACATTCTCTTCTGCTGGTCCTAATCTTGTTGTTACTACTTTTTCAGATGCAGACTGGGGTGGTGATGTAGATGACAGATAGTCAATGTCTGATTATTGTGTCTTTGTTGGCAATTGTTTGGTGTCTTGGTTGTCAAGAAAACAAAAGATTGTTTCTCGATCAACTATGGAAGCTGAGTACAAAAGTATTGCTGATGTTGTTGCAGAAGTCACTTGGATCAATGATGTGCTTATTGATTTGGGTGAATCTCCGATTACGCCACCTACTATTTGGTGTGATAATTCGAGTGTCATTGCAATGAGTGTCAACCAAGTTTATCATGCACAATCCAAGCATTTTGACCTCGATGTGCATTTTATTCGAGAGAAAGTTGATGCTAAACAACTATAGGTTCAATATGTACCAGCATCACATCAGATTGCAGATGGATTTACCAAATCGTTAGCTAGAGGTGCTTTTGAAAATTTTAACGAACAAGTGAATGTTCAGTTGGCTAAAAACAAGGAAAAAACAGAGGGAATGTTGAATATAGTTGTTACTGTGAATGTTGCACGTGCCAAGATTGGTTACCAAACTGTTGCAGCAACGGTTAAGCTATTAGGGTGGTTAGTTTGTTGAGTTGCTGCTTGAGCAAGCAATGTACATAAGTTGAGCCTGAGTGAAAATGTTGTACATATAGAGTGTTAATTTTTCCTTGTAAAAACACTTTTCATTCAATGAAATAATATCATTTTTTTACGGTTTCTTTGCTCAAGTGTTTTCTCAATATTCATTATGTTCAAAACTTTTTTTTTCAGTTAAAAATAAATGATATTCTGAGCTGAACATTAATTTGTTGATAGTGACATGATAAAATTTAATGCTAAAAATCTCAAACGACTATCATATCTCAATCATTATGTTAACATCTAGCTTAAACAACCGTTAATTTTTGTCAAATTTTAATAAAAAAGACAAGTCTGAAACATAGTGAATAATAAGGTGATCATTTCTTAACGTTTAATAATCGAGTGATTTAATAAAATAATACCCTATAATCGGACCATTTACGTTCTTTACCCTTCAATTCAATCCAATCAGTTGGGACCAATACAACCACGAAGAGGAGGGAGCCTCGTGTTTTGTGTGTGCAGAATCTGGCATGTTTTAATATAATTTCGAAGTTCGGGAAAAGTATATCAAACTATGTTTAAAGTTTCGTTTTGATTATTATAAATTTATAATTTTTAAAATATGTTTTAAAATATTTATCTAAAAGTCTAGTGATCGTGATTATTCAAGGATAATTTAATGACTTCTTGTATATTTTATCCATATAATTTTAATGGTATTTTTTGTTATTGGATCAAGCCCAAAGAATATGGAGAAATTTCAAAACCCAGTAAATGCTGGCCACAATCTTGAGCTTTAAACACAGCTTCATTTGGGGCTGTAAACGTTACAAATCAACCTTGGAGAATTTAAAAAAGAAAGCAGCAGAAATCAAACCACAAAAGAAAAATGGAATCCTTGAGCTTAACGAGCATGACGCCCCAACCAACAGGTTTCTCACTGAAGAACAGCAGTTACAGTAATCCAACTAAGTTCATTCCAAGGAAGAGACATGTTTTCGTTACATTGGCAACGGCTTCTCCTCAAACCGGTGTAGACACTAATTTTTCATTATATTATTTTAATTATTATTATTATTAAATAAAATATATTATTATATATATATTATTATCATTAAATAAAAAAATAATAATAATAAAAATATTACAAAGCCCAAAACTGGGGCCCGATTACAATTGGCCCAGCAGAACCCAAATCCTTTAAGGTTTGTAACATTCAGCTAGGGTTGTCTAAACCCTAGCTTCCAGACGCGGCGCCACCCCTGAAGCCACCCCGACGACCGACTCTCTGATGCCAGATGGTCCAACCAGTTGCTGCCGACGCTGCTGCCTCCACGACGCCGACCTCGTCGAGCTTTCCAGAAGCCAACTGCCTCACCAAATCAGTGCTCTATGGTGAGTCACCGCCATAGCTTGGTGACTCACCAAAGATGCTACCCATGGGACCGGTCCGAGGAGTACACTGTGGTGGCTATAAAAGCCACCACTGAACTTGCAAAAAAAAAAAAAAACCCAGGAAGGACAGAGAGCAACGGAGAACACGAGAGAAACGAGGACATCCAGCAAAGAAAAAAAAAGAAAACAGAAAGCTACCAACGATCCCAATCAACGACAAACCAGTAAAAAAAAAGGAAGAAGAAGAGAACAGAGGAACTTACTCTGTTATCGGAGAACCCCAAACGTCACCGGAGAACCGAAATACCGAAGGTGAAAATCGTAGATTTACGATATATTATAGGGTTTTAGGTTAAAATAACCTTAGATCGGACCTTAGGACGTTTAGATCTACGCTTTGGGGGTGTTTTTGGTAAATTCCGGCCACCGTTTACGGTGGCCGGCGACGGTGGCCGGCGGCGGAATACGGTGGCCTATGGCTGCCGGTTTCCCTCCGGCGAGGGAAACTAGAGAGAAACCAGAGAGAGAACTCTGGTTCTCTCATTCAGAGAAAGAAAGAAAAGAAAGAAATGGGAAAGCTTGGCCCTTCGGGCCAGGCGTTTAGGTTTTATAAACCCTCCCCCGAACGACGTCGTTTTGGGGAGGGTATCTGTGTAATTTAAGAAAGGGTAAATCCTTTCCGCAACCCTTATAGTTATGTAACTTTGCAATTTAGTCACTGAAATTGACTTTTAATCATTTTAATTTAGTGTTTAAATTTTATTTTATTATATTTTAACCATTAACTGTATTTATATATATTTAGGAAAATATCAAATTTAGTCCCTCATAGTTTATTAATTATTATTTTAATCATGTATTAATTAATTAGGTTAAATTACACTATTAATCATTATCTTTTATAATATTTTAATTATTATCTTTATTTTTAAATACTTTATATTTAGTTTTATAATTTTTGAATTTCTTTTATTTTGATCATTATTTAATTACAATATCATTTTATTATTACTTTTATATTTTAATTATTGCTTTAATTATTATTTTATTATTATCTTAGTCATATAAATATATATATATTTTTAAATAATAATGTTTATTTATTTTCGATATCAAAGAAAAGGGTAGTCTTAATATAACTGGATGTCCTATTCTGGTATTTTAAATAATTAAATATTATAAAAATTATAATTTAGTTTTATTTAAAATATTAAAATTTTAATATATTTTTTTATCAAAGAAGAGAGCTGTCTTAAGATACCTAGAAGTCATTTTCTGATATTTTTGAATAAATAAATATCTTACTATATTAAAATAAATTTTTGTCATAAAAAATGTTTGTCATTTATTTATTTTTTAATATTGAAGAAAAGAGCTGTCTTAAGGCACCTAGAAGTTCTTTTCCGATATTTTTAAATATTTTTTTAATTTTGAAATAATATAAATTTAAATTAAATATATTTTGAATTTTTTTTAATTGTTAATAATAGAGACAATTTATAATTAAAAAGTACCAATTTTGGGCGTTGTAGGGGTGTTAATCCTTCCCTAAACGTAACCGACCACGAATCCCTTTTTATTATTAAAAAAAACGAATTTTTGGTTATAAATGCATATCAGTTCATTTTTTAATTGATGTTTTCTTAAAACTCTTTTAAAAAATAATTTTTAGGTATTCGACCTACCTAACCCAAAAGGCCGATGGCGACTCCCAAATTATTTTCAAAAACATTTATTTACATCAATTTTCCCGCCAAATTTAAAATTTCGTGCCCGGACGAAAACCGGTTACGACAGCTTGGCGACTCCGCTGGGGACTGTCAAACTTTAAAATCAATTATAAATTGTCTCTATTAATTAGAAATTAAAAATTCATTTATTTAATTTTTAATTATTTTCTTTCAAATTTTTATTATTTATTATTTTTATATTAATATTGTTTTTTTATTCAGGTATTAATTATTTTATTTATCTGTTAGAGGTTCGAATATTTCTCCTCACACACAACACTTGCATTGCATAACATAAAGCTCTATAATTGAGTTTGTCCCTTTTAAGTGGGAGTAAAAGCGACGTCTTCGTGAGAATTTATTCTCCGTGTCAGACCTAGCAAGTAACTTTCGGGGTTCATATGCTCTATGTCTTCGTGAGAATTTATTCTCCGTGTCAGGTATAGAGAAATGTGTCCCCTCGAATTGAACTCGATCCGTTTAAATCTGTAATGGATTAGGATTGATGGTTGACAGCCCAAGGGGGCATCAACAAGGACAATTCGAGTACCTTTACTCCTAGAACTGAAACTCTGCATATAATAAACCCTAGAAATTCACCTAATCTAAGACAGTACTGAACCTCTGTTCATAGGTGTACATAAAGGAGAAATAAGCTCTAGCTTTTAATTTATTTAATTTATTATTATTTTTTCTCCCTGAATAAATGCATGCGAACTAGAAATCATGCGGTTAGGTTAAATTTTCCAAACAAAGCATGGAACTAGAAAGCATGAGGTTAAGATTTATACCTTGATAGATAGATTTTTTTCATTAGTTGGTACTAACTATTTTATATTTTTCTCATGTCTTTTGTTTGCATTGCATAATCATAGCATAACCAAAAGGTGTTTACTTGAAAGACTGTTCATCATATTGGAAAGAAATTATAAATGGACAAAAAGTTTTATGATCAAACAAAATATGATGCGGCCAAAGAAAGACATCCTGAGAAAACTCTAAGGATAGAAGCAAGCTATGCACCCAAAGATCGTATGACCATTGAAGAACAAAAGGAGATACGAGAAATAAGAGAGCAGATGACCAAGATGATGGATAGAATATCTGTGTTGGCCAAAGGAAAAGAAATTCCAGCACAGAAAGAGAGAGAGCTCAATGAACCTAACTCTGCAGTTTCGGATACGCAAGAGATTTCGATTCTTAACCAATTTGAGAAATTACAGACAGTCATCATTCGTATTCACAAATCGTCTGGAGATACCAAAGAAATGGTGACGACCGTACAAGCTCCCAGAGAAGAGAAGAAATCATGTAATCAGAAATTATCAAAGTTTGGTCTGCTCCCGATGTCTACAACTCAGGTTCAATCCAAGATAAAAGGTGGTTCTCATCTTGATACTATCCCCATATCATATAAAGAGTTGTATGAAAAGCTACTTGAAGCACGAGAAGTGGATCCATATTATATAAAACCGTTCCAACCTCCGTATCCAAATTGGTATGACATCAACGTTCATTGTGAATATCATGCCGGAGCTCAAGGACATACCATCGAGAATTGTCTTGCCTTCAAACGCCGAGTCCAAAGTCTTTTGGATCATGGAACCTTACAATTTATGGTAAGTAATCGACCTAGTTTGGTAACCGAGGGTCCTGATAGATTAATACCAAAAGTCTTCAAAGGTAAGAATATCAGTAGGGGCGTCCAGAGAGAAGAAGATTTGTTGAGGTTTGAAGCTCAAATACGTCATTTGAAGATTAAAAACGATAAATTGAGCACCAAAATGGAAACCATACATGAAGACTTCCAGAAGGTCAGTCAAGCCTTTCAAAATGCTGGTATAGGAAACACCCCAGAAGAGTGGATAGCAGGGGTCACCAAACTGAAAAAGAGTTGCAATATACATGAAGATCTTGTCCAAAAACTTTTTGAACACAAATGTTCTCTCACAAAGGAAAATGATCAACTCCAAGAATTGACATAGGAGATGAAAGAACACCAGAATATCATGGAAGAAGCTGCAGTCCAGACAAGCAATATGACACATAAGCTGATAAACTAACTTGGTTTTAGAGAAGAAAATGGGAAAGTTATTCCCTATATGTAAAGTTTTGTTAGGACTGAAAGTTGTCCCTTACATGTAAAAGTTTTGTTTGATGTACTGAAGCTTTTGTGTTCAATGAAATCTGTTCTAAGATGATCACTCTTAAGTAACACCTTTTCATACATGCATTTACATTTTGTATTTGTGCATTTTCATTTTGTATTTTTACTTTTTATATCTTTGAATTGCACATTTTGCATTCTTATTTTTCCATTTATGCATTTTTCACATTTTTATTTAAGTACTGTTATGTACTTTAATTACAAAAACATGTAAATAATTCATGAAAGGTTTTGTAACAGTAAAAACCAAGATCATTCATTCATCTTACTGTACCATCATCATGAAAACAATGGAGCAATCTTATAAGGGACTACAAGATCAGTGGCTAGAACAATTGACAAGGTTACCTCAGGATATAAGGAAAGAAACATCAGATTCAGTACCAGAGGGATCAAATCAAATTATTCAGTATGTGACATCTGATAAAGAAGAGATAATTTATAAAGAGCAACCATGCTGTCAGATTGAAGAGTCGAAAATGGTAAAACCCTATGGGGCATCCCAATTGAACCCAAAGAATAGCCTTGTTCATTATTCGCAATATGAGGAAAGATTCAAGAAGATGGATGAAGCAATCAAAAATATGAAATGTGTTGATACTTCCCACAAAGAATTAGAAGTAAGAGAGCTTAGCTTGGTTCCAGATTTGATTATTCCCCATGAATTCAAAATGCCTGATTTTGAGAAATATGATGGCACAAGTTGTCCTCTAATCCACCTGAGAATGTTTTGC